AGGGAAATAGCCAACTTGTCCCTTAAATGAGACTAATTACGATGTTTACCTCCCTTCAGTCATCTGGCAAGGCGTTAATTAATTGTTTTGAGAAAAAAAAGGAAAAAAAAACGTGACAAAACGCGGGGAATCCAAAATTATGCAATTGTTGCAGAATTACGCAAAAAAAACGCGACGCACCGTGGCCGCACAATCGCATAATCATAAATCCAACGAGGACAGGTAATTTCACCAACCTACTAGTAACTACTCATTCAAGGGTGGCGGTAAAACGAGGTTTGGCTGAACAGTAGACAGTGGGAATAACTTTTATACAATTTTGTACAAGTGCATCATTCAGAGAGGAAACTGACACTAAGCACTTTTCGGACTTTTCCATTTGTTTCCCTGTATGGTATAAGTAAGTATAAGCTTGTAAATATACATTGTGGATCTATCAAAAATACAAAGTACAAGCAAGTCCCAAGATAAAAATTTGCAATACAGCAGTCCCCAGGACAACATCCAATATGCTAAAATCAGTACTATCCTATAATCAGGTTTTCTCGGTCAATAGAATTCTTTCACTAGAACTTTTTACAGAACCATTCTGACAGGAAAAAAAATTTGTCTGAAAAGAAAATTAACTTTTTAAAAAAGCAACAACTTGCCTGAGAAAGGTCAAAATTTCACACAGTCCTGCCCAAAGCCCTTCACAAGACAATGAAAGAAAAAAAAGCAGTGACAGGTGGGGAAACTCCCATCCAATGAGGCCATTACAAGTCTATCACTGCTCTGTTGTCATTAAAAAGGTACGACAAACACCCCCCCCCCCCCTATAATGTTGTGTATAAACTTTCTCAGCAGTAAAAAAACCCAACATTTTAGTTATGTTATTTCTTTCATTTGGGGGGGCAGGAAGAAGGGGTGTTCTATTCCCTGATCATATCAAACATCAGAAGGTGGGAAATCATAAGATCATTTCCATTGTTAAATCCATGTTCACTCTGTGAAACCTTGACATCATCTTTAGCCAAGTCTACAATATAATTATAATCACAAATCTAAGTACATCAATACCTGATTTTTAAAATTCAAAGACAATTCAACAAAACAACAAAAGAAAAGAACATAATTACATTCAACACAATTCACAGCATAGAGCAGTAATATCTTGTTACGTCTTGTAAAATACAGTCACTGGAAAAATCTATGACAAAAAGAGAAGGTAGCATGGCCTCGCACAAAGCACCTAAGAAATAATTTTTTTTTAGAAATGTAGAGAATTCAAACAAAGGTTTTACTGTATTTCTTGCTAAATCCTCACATATCAGAATGTGTCTAATAAAAGATAATAGAGATAACGGAAATTCCTTCCTCAACATCAAGCTCTGTGCGCTTTACAATCTATATTATTACCTCAGCAGACCAGACAGCATTCTGGAACAATCTCAACTTCCTGGGAAGCATACTGCCATACATACCGTATGGGACAACAACAACACACAAAAAAAGGAAGAAAAAAAAATCCGATCCTTTGAACTTTGAAATTCTTCTTTTCCCCCCATCAACTTGCAACATAAACAATGATTTTTATGTAAAACTTTGGTGAAAGGCACTAAACACACACATATATACCATGTATGTAAAGAAATAAACAGTCTTTGGTGAATAATAAACAGTAAGTTGGTTGTTTTCTACTCAGTATCACTCAATAAATAAAAACATGGACATTGCTCACTTTCTAGAGGCTTTTGGTTGCTGTTTTTCTTTTTTCTTCAGAATACTCCTCATGTTTAATCAACATGAAATAGATAAAAATGCTCAGCAACAAAACAAGGAGTCCTTGACTACTGCTTCCACTTCCCAGTACCTCCTTCTGTCATGCACAGCTTTGTCTAATAAAAGTCTACAGCTGAGAGAAGATGCGCAAAGCAGAATGAGATTGAGATTCAATAGAGTTACCCAGAAACCCTCCATAGCATTTCCATACTGGGACAGAGAGACAGACAGACAGACAATGAAGAGAAACAAGAAGTGGGACTTCTGCTTCATGAATCTCTTTCAACATACAGCCGGGCACACGGAAGAATTGAAATTACAGACAGCTCGTGAGTCGTACAATGTGCCTCTCCTTCACTGATATCTCTTCAACTTTTCGTTATCCGTTAACCCAAATTATGGATGTGTCGAACACATTAAATAATATTTCGATTTTCATAGAGTGCACTTGGTTTCCGACCTCACGATCTTAGTAATTCTAAACGGCTCAAAATGTCAGATAAAACTTTGTAATTCTACGGTAGCAATTTGTTAATCCCCGACATGACGTTTGAGTTATCCGTGCCGTACTATACTTTTTTCATTCCCTTAACGCAGATCTGTTACGTAAATGTAGGCAAGAGGACATGACAACCATAATAAAAAGGAGAAGGTGGAGATGGATTGGACATGTTCTGAGAAGAGAGCCAGACTCTATTGTGAAGACTGCCCTCCACTGGACACCCGAAGGACGTCGCAAGAGGGGCAGACCCAAAGTGACCTGGAGACGCACAGTAGAGTCTGAAATGAAGTCCTGGAATCAGTCTGACCAAGATGGCCCGAAACAGACAGAGCTGGAGATCCTTTGTTGCTGCCCTAAACGCCAGATGGTGTAATGGGTAGTAAGTAAGTAAGTAAGTAACATAATGTTCAAAGTGGGTTGCCACTTGCTTTGGACAGAGGAGGGAAAGTGGACAAGAGAGAGAGAGAAAAATAAATGCATGCGCACGCAAACAAACATACACAAAGAGGCAAAAAGACAGACAGATAAAGAGCCAAACTTTTGCTTCAGGAATTCCATGGAAAATATATATAGATGTAACTTCATTATTTCTTTCATCATTAATACAAATTATACAAAATGAGCACTTCTGCGCCAAGTTCCCATATAGTGCATTGATTCAATACTTTGAATGAAAGACACCTTGAAAAAATTTATAAACCTCTCTGTCTCTGTATTATGGAGCTCTTGAAGATTGAACACGTACATTTTAAAAATAGTATTTGCAACTTTAAGTGGAGTTTTCTTGCTCCCACTCATACATTTGTAAAATGTTAAAAAATAGACATGTATTTATAAATGTTAATATACATTTCACGACAAAATCATCATAAACGCATAAACAAGGTTGCATCATTCAGCGAAAACAAAAGAGCAATAGGAGTACATACACAGCCAACATGTACCACAATTTTGTGGGGGATAATGGGAATCTGTTTTACCCAATCATTGAGAGCAAGATAAAAAACAGAATACATCAACGATTCACCACACATTTCTATATTGATAATAATAATAATAATATTAACTGCATTTATATAGCCCATACCCACACTCTACAGCAGGCTTACTTTGTGCGCTTTACAACTATTATTTTCTCTGCTCTCAAAAATAAGAACTATATTTACCCGAATCAGATGAAATCAGAAACCCACACTTTAACCCATTTTCTGCATTGAAATGAAACACATTGTTGCTATTAGTGAAGTGGTGTGTCTATTTTATTATGTAAACATAAAAAAAGAAATGGATCGTCAGCAATCACAAAATGGGTTCTGCAGGGTAATACATGTGCCTTTATTTCTCAACTTCTCCCCCCCTGATTTTTTTCTTCAAAATTACAAACAGCTGATCTGTGCTGTAACAGCACAGCGACGACACACTCAGCTTCTTCCTTCCAACCCCTTCCCAGGTCACAGAATAAGGAACTTCCATTTTAAAAATATGTTCAAAAGTTTTGGGCTTAGTACTAGGTAGCGTAAACACGGCCTTGCAGGCACTCGCGGCCTTCTGACCGCGTGGTATCGGTGAAATCGGGGTAATTCCGATCGCTGCTTCTTTGCTCTTTCACTATAAAACACCAAATGCCGTACACCTTGTAAAAGTTCAGCTTTTCTTCATTACAATGGGGTAAGTTGTTTATATGTCCGATTATTAGGAGCTGGAGAATCACCGACGAAAGCGAAGCCCCTCGCGGTCGGAATGCGTGATCGGCCGGTTTCCGTGGTACATATTTGGCCTTTGGCGTTTAAATAGAAAGCTTTTAAAAATGCTGTCAAAATGTTTAAAGATCACTTTTTACGCAAAATATGTAAAATACCGGCTTAAAAAATATATCAATTTAGAGATCAGTCCATTTCCTATAAGAACAAAGTAATCAATTTGGAATTATTTTTTATCAATCCTTCCAAAAGACTCGTAAAGCATGTGACCCCGCACGCGGGGTACACTACAGTATAGAGCCGACTCGCTCGCCGCGGGGGCTGGTGCGGCGCCGGCCGGGTCAACGCTCTGTATTTTTGTCGAAATAACGACAGATCATCGTGTTTGAGGCGATAAAATACTGATTTGTAATGATCTCACAGTCTTGAAAAAAATTAGGCTCCATATATTTGTTATAGTGATTGTACTGTGTTAATGTGGAGATGTTTAGTGCATTTGGTACTCTTTTATTGTCTGTCAAACATGGGGTTGCAGCCAGTGACTGACTTTAACAAATTTGATCAAATTTTAAACAACTACCATTTTCTTTAAAAAATTGACTGAAAGGTTAAAGAACGGTACCAAAAGGCTCAGTGGATATAGGCCTTTCAAATGGAACAGATAAATGTGGCATACAGCTACTTTGAAAATTTAGTTTCTGGTACCTATTAGTACATCCACACATTCGGCCAACAGTATGGTGGCATGGGACAAACTCCGACAAGCTCAGTATCGATACTGCTGTGACTGTAATCATCTTCATAAAATGTCACAACAGGAACAAACATCGGTGATCATGGCTCTCCGTTCATTTCTCCCTTCAGAAGCTCTAAAAAATCCCACATGATCCTGGTGTTTCCCCGTCACTCATTTATTCAGATTTTCTAAAAAAGTTTCTCTAGGTTTACTAGCCACATTTACTTTCTATTTGTCAAGTGAGAGCTACATGTCCAAAGACTTTATGTCGATTCAAGCGTCCCAGAAACTGCATTTGTCCCTTCCAAATTGTTTTAATTAGTGACCGTTATACATCAATAAAACAGGTGACAAATGCAAAAATATATACAAAATTTACATTGATTGACTGTTTTCACTAAACATTTTCAAAGGGTGTGTTTCTTTTCTTCAAAAACAGAACTATTAAAATATTTTCTTTTTTTTAAAACCACAAAAATCCCACAGGGTTACTTTTCTCAAATGGGTACACCATCTGATGACCCCAACACGATGATACGTCATTTCAGACAACAGAAGGCAACGAAAACTCAGCATTCACCATCCTCCAGCTCCCACCCTGTTTTATCATTGAACACCCAGAAAAGGATTCTCATCCCCGTCCTCATGATCCGCAAGAAAGAGAGCGTCGTCTTCATTCTCGCCAACCTCCATGCCGTTATCCGCATCGTGGACAAGGTCCAACATCCGATAGTCTTATCGACGAACACCCAGCAAAGGATTCTCATCCCCGTCATCATGATCCGCAAGAATGAGAGAGTCGCCTTCATTCTCGCCAACCTCCATGCCGTTATCCGCATCGTGGACAAGGTCCAACATCCGGTCGTCGTCCTCGCCATCCTGCAAGTCGTCGTTGCCATCGAGCGGCATGTCGTCGTCCAGGCCGATGACCTCGTCGTTCTGGCAGCAGTTGAAGCACGGGATGACCAGGATGTGGGCATAGACCAGGATGCCTTTCAGGATCAGGACAAACCCCGGGACCTGAGGACATTTAGTCGGAGTCAGAGTTTTACGGCACTTGTAACACAATCAGGTCATATGACGAATGCTGAAGATTAGAGGTGTTACTAGAGAGTAGCATACAAATGAAACAAGGAGGAGAAGTAAGGACAATGTACATTGAATAAGAAAGAAGGAGCAAACCTCACCAGAGCATCCTCCAATCACACACTAAGAAAGCGTAACATCACCACCACCCATGCCAATAGAAAATTTTTTAAAAAATATATATGGGTGTTTTTACATCCCCATGGCCCCATTCAGATTATTTGGGAGGTGGGCTTCCAAACTTGCCTGTCGGGGCCAACCTAGTCTGAGAGGAATAAAACATCCAAGCAGAAAGACCGAGATGCTCGATAAAAATTTTTCTTCATTCCGGAACCGAACTTGGGTCTCCTATGTTTGACATCGAAGCACTTAAGCACTCTCTGTCACCGTGTCCGTCTGTCGCTGTGTCTGTCTCTGTGTTGCTGTTTCTCTTTCTTGCTCTCTCTCTCTCTCTTTCTCTGGTCTCTCTCTCTCTAGTCGCTGTCACTGCTCCCATCTTTGTTTCTCTGTCTCTATCTCTGTGTTTCAGTCTCTGGTTCTGTCTCTCTCCGTTTGTCTCTGCCACTTTTACTCCCTGTCGCTTTGCGTCTCTCTGTGTCTTCATTTCTCGCTGTTAGAGAAAGAGAGAGAGAGAGAGAGAGAGAGAGAGAGAGAGAGAGAGACACACGGAGACAGAAAGACAGAGACAGAGACACAGAGAGAGAGAGAGACAGAGACACAGAGAGAGAGAGAGAGAGGGAACAGCAACACAGATAGACACACAGAGAGACAGAGAGCCCTGCTCACATGTGCAATAAAGAACAGCTCCCTGTGGAGAGCCACACAGAGACAGGTACAGCGACAGAGAGCCCACTCACCTGAGCAATAAAAAACTGCTCCCACGACTCACAGTGGAGAGCCACAGAGAGAGAGAGAGAGAGAGAGAAAGAGAGAGACAGCGACAGAGAGCCCACTCACCTGAACAATAAAAAAACTGCTCCCAGTGAAGAGGCACTAAGAGAGAGAGAGAGAGAGAGAGAGAGAGAGAGAAAGAGAGAGAGAGGGAGGGAGGGAGGGAGGGAGAGAGAAAGAGAGAGAGAGAGAGAGAGAGAGAGAAAAAGAGAGAGACAGCGACAGTGAGCCCACTCACCTGAGCAATAAAAAACTGCTCCCAGTGGAGAGCCACTAAGAGAGAGAGAGAGAGAGACAGCGACAGAGAGCCCACTCACCTGAGCAATAAAAAACTGCTCCCAGTGGAGAGCCACTAAGAGAGAGAGAGAGAGAGACAGCGACAGAGAGCCCACTCACCTGAGCAATAAAGAACTGTTCCCAGTGAAGAGAGAGAGAGAGAGAGAGAGAGAGAGAGAGAGAGAGAGAGAGAGAGAGAGAGAGAGAGAGAGAGACAGAGAGAGAGAGAGAGAGAGACAGAGAGAGCGACTGAGAGTCCACTCACCTGAGCAATAAAGAACTGCTCCCAGTGGAGAGCCAAACAGATGCCCCAGTAGAAGGCCCACACCAGCAGCTCCACCATGATCCGCGGCAGCGCCCCCTGGTCGCGCACCAGGAACAGGCCCAGGTACGTGTATACGATGTAGCTCAGCAGCGACCCTGGCACAGAGCAACGGAGGAAATCATACGTCATTCTACAAACTTCATCATTGGAAAATATCACTATCATTCCCCAAAGGTAAACACAGAGCACCACAGTATTTTTGTCTGTTACCATACCAAAAGCAGTAACAAACTTATGAGAGTTCTCGGGTCTGCTGGTGTAATAGTAGTCGTAAAGAGCATAGAGCATACTGTAGAGTGTGGATATGCGCTATATAAATGTTATTTTCTATCATTAAATATTATAGGAGGAAGTGCCCTCATAGTATAGGAAGACAAATACACCAAATAAAAAAAAAAGGAATGATTTTATTTGCCTGACTCTTTTATCTCCGAGGCGGGGTAAACCCATTATGCCACGGCCCTTTTTGGTACCTAATTTAAAAATCACAAAAACGTCACTGAATATGTCTTTAAATCAAAACAAGTGAACCTATTTTGATAGTTCCTCATCTAATGAATGAAATCCTGATAAAAGAGACCTGTTTTCAGCAATTGCCAAAAAGTAATTTAATGTCAAAGTCGTTCCTACCATGAGCCGTTGGTAGCGGCTCGCCAGAGATAAAAAGTTTAACCAAAACCTTACCCACAAAAGCCAGCACCACACGCCAGTCGGCAGCAAGCTGAAAAGCTGCATCCTGAAAGTCCTCGATATGTCCGTTTGGCATCTCCGTGTACTGAACTCCATCCACCAGGTTGAAAATGATGAGAAGAATCGTGGCAAACGCAAAACCGTAAGATGCTGAAAAAGACGAGGAAAAATTCTCATCTTAAAACTTCCACACGAATCACACACAATGGACTTACAAAAGCACCCACTAAATTTCGACTGCACAGTGTAAGACTTGCAACTGCATATGGTCATATAAGCGTCCAGGGGTGAATGTCAGCAGAAAAGTCCTTTCGGGGAATCGGGCTTACTCTGCTCACCTCTCTAGCCTCAACAGCACAAAGTCTGCTTTGACTATCGAGGCATCCCGGAAATAGTAGTTCACAAGAGAGTGATAAACATACAAAAGAAGGGGAGGAAAATGACGATAGTAATGATGAGGAAAGTTGTTGTTGTTGTTGTTATCGATCCAGCAACATCTGGGCTCTCGCCCTTCTGTCCAATGCCATGTAGTATGATGAGGAAAGAAAAAGCGACATCTCTCCCCCCTATGTTGTTCCGGCACAGTATGAGCATGACATTGATAAATCATCCCATTTACAATTCTACTATGCATAAGAACATGTAAATACCCCCCCCCCCCTTTGGGAATGGCCTAAAGGCACTTCAGTTAGTAGCACTGCCTTGATGGGGGGATGCCTCATCATATGTCATTTTCTGGCCGCGCGGAAAATTGCATTTTTGAAATAGAAAAATTGCAAAAAATTGCAAGGTAAACTGCCCAAAAATAGCAAAAAAATTGCAACCTTCCCATCCCTGGCGCATTAATACGGGCTTAACATTTTTAGTTTAAAAAACATGACAATTTGAGTATCGGTAGCATAAAAGCCGAACAGCCTTTTAAAAAATCATGACCCATTATACAAATTTTATTAACAATATTTACCAGTAACAACACTCGAGTACGTTAACAATAAAGTTATCGACCAAATATAATATAATACTGCGTGACACAAAATAATGGAACCCTTGGTTTTCGTAATAACTTTTAAATGAAGGCATAAAATTAGACCAAATTTAGTATATAACGGGTACTTGGTTCATGCAAAGACCTAATAATAATAATAAATAGCATTTATACTGCGCATTTCCATTTCCTAAAAGATGCTCAAAGCGCATTACAATGAAAAAGACATCACATCTTAAAAATTAATCGACACAAATGTGTACATAAAACAAAGTATTATAGGCTACATATAATATAAATGCATATGTGTAAAATTTTATACCAGAAAAACAGTCTAGAAGTGTAGTATGAGGTTTAGTCTAATAAAAACCAAAAATTTGATGGGAGATTTTCGAAACAATCTCTAAATTCAAAATTAGCTTAGGCTCCAATCACTTCAGATCCTGTTCTATTTTTCTCTTGAAACCTTTGATACACCGGTAATCTGTATTTTGATCCCGTGTGAACGCAGCTTAACTCAGTGTCTACGTACACAGTAACCGGCAACCAGGTATGTAGTCTCAGTGTCATGTACACGATAACCGGGCAGTTCAGAACTCCAAGTTCAGTTTTTGTCTTCCGGTGTTGCCTTCAAACCAAGCCCTCTCCTGACTCTACCTTTAAAAAAAAATCAATAATCCCCCAATTCCGGAGCCCTATACTTCGCAGCGCACAGACTTTGAATGAACTTTGGTGACCCCAACCGGTACTCACAATGTGATGCGAAAGCACAGGTTCACTGACCAGTCACGATGGCGAGCCCGACAAGTCGCTTTCTTTTTTTTTTTAAAGTGGAAGCACAGGACAAAATATTGATTAATTTTCTTTCCGGTTACCGTGTACGTAGATACTGAGACTAGGTGCCCAATTACCGTGTATGCAGACACATGCATCATGTACGATTACGAACAATATTCATGCGCACGCGTGTGCACACACACACACACTCACGTACACCTTACACGCGCACACACATGCATACCACACACACACCTACTTTCTATCACATGCGCACGCTTACACACATTAGATCTAGATCTCTATACATGTCTCATTGTGTGTTGTACATAATGTATTCCGGCCTGAAGTTCCGGTTATAGCTTTTAGAGTACGCCCAGTAGGTTTAGGCTAGAGCTGGGCCGAAACCATGATTTACGTAGGCCTATCGGTTCTGTACTCGCACCATTTCGTATTATAAATTCTGTTAAAATTAAAGCGTTGATATATTTTTGCCTAATATTGCAAGACCGCGATTTCCTGGGGGGCCAGCATTTTTCAAAATAGCGTTTGGTGCCAGACACTAAGCAGTTAATATGAACCCAAGCAGGCAAGACAAAACCACACTTAAATAAAAAATAGGTCCATCCTTATCGAGAAGATTGCATTGTTGAAAAAAAAAAAGCAAAAATTATGTTTACTAATATCATGTAAATAAACTAACAATACTTAGTAAATTTTAAATGAAGAGAGTCCTAAGGCTTCAATATTTCATTCTATGAACTTCATCATTAAAAAGTATCATTCCCCAAAGGTAAACATAGTGCCCCATTCTATTTTTGGCAGTATGTTATCCTACCAAAAGCAACAGCAAATTTCATTTAAAAAGCAAATAAACCAGAGTCACGGTTATTACAAACATCTTTTCAGAGTCAGAATAACATGTACACAGTTTTTTGTTTTAGTAAGAGTTTTATGGCACTTGCAACACAATAAGGTCATTAAGTGCCGAAGATTAGAGGTGTTGCAAGAGAGTAACAAATATATAAAAGAAGGAGAGATCTGGACGATATATGTTTGATAGGAAGGAAGGAGCTGAAACCACACCAGAGCACCCGCCAACCACCCACATGTAGGCCTACACTGTTTGAAATCAGAGAAAACCACTGGGCAAGAGTGGACTAGGACAAGGAAGAGACCAAAACTCTGTACAGCATAAAAAGTGGGAGGTTCAAAACAACAAGCAGCACTGTCTGTCTTTGTCAGTACCCATTACAGTACCTTTGTTTAGTCTTAGTAAGAGTTTTACGGCACTTGCAACACAATAAGGTCATAGTCATATAAGTGCCGAAGAATAGATGTGTTACAAGAGAGTAGCAAACACAAAATAGAAGGAGGGAAGATAAAGACGATAGAAATTTAATAGGAAAGAAGAAGCAAACCACACCAGAGCACCCACCAACCACCCACTTAGTAAGAGTTTTGCAGCACTTGCAACACATTTATGTCATGTTGTAAGTGCCGAAGAATAGAGCTGTTACTAGAGAGTAACATACACAGAAAACAACAAGGAGGAGAGATAAGTATGATAGATGTTTAATAGAAAAGAAGGAAAACAAAAACCCACACCAGAGCACCCACCAACCACCCACACAGTACCTTCTGAGCCCAAAAACTTCATGGGGTGTATGGAGTGCTTGCGGATGAACTTCTCCTCATAAATCAGCTTGGTGGCAAACATGATCTGTCCCATCCCGATCTGAAGATCTCCTGTGGATACAGGAAGGAAACGGTCAGGGCTTTATTGTTTTAGTCAGAGTTTTACGGTATGTGCAATACAAATTGTTTTAGTAAGAGTTTCACAGCACTGCAATATAAATAGGTCCTATAAGTGCTAGGTCAGTGCTTTATTGTTTTAGTAAGAGTTTTGCGGTACTTGCAATACAAATAGGACCTTTAAGTGCCAGGTCAGCGCTTTATTGTTTCAGTAAGTTTTATGGCACTTGCAATACAAATAGGACCTATAAGTGCCAGGTCAGCGCTTTTTTGTTTTAGTAAGAGTTTTACGGCACTTGCAATACAAATGAGACCTATAAGTGCCAGGTCAGCGCTTTATTGTTTCAGTAAGTTTTATGGCACTTGCAATACAAATAGGACCTATAAGTGCCAGGTCAGCGCTTTTTTGTTTTAGTAAGAGTTTTGTGGCACTTGCAATACAAATGAGACCTATAAGTGCCAGGTCAGCGCTTTTTTGTTTTAGTAAGAGTTTTACGGCACTTGCAATACAAATGAGACCTATAAGTGCCAGGTCAGGGCTTTATATTATTATAGCTTTAGTAAGAGTTTTACGGCACTTGAAATACAAATTGGACCTATAAGTGCCAGGTCAGCGCTTTATTGTTTTAGTAAGAGTTTTACGGCACTTGAAATACAAATTGGACCTATAAGTGCCAGGTCAGGGCTTTGGGTGGAACAGTTGTTGTCTGTGAGGGGCCCGGCATTTTGTCCTTGAAAAAGACACTATATAGGAAATTTTCTCACTTCACCCCCATGGGAATGGGTTCCCAGCTATAGACAGTAAAAGATCTTGTCAGTTTGTTAGTGTTTTGAGTCCTTAATCTATTGCTTGCGCTGTATGCTTCCTGTGAGGTCGTACAAAAAATTCCATAACCCTTCCTAGTAAGCCCAAAACCATGTCACTTAATGTTTACACAAGTAAAAAAGATAAAAATAGAATTGTACATAAAAAAGGGGACTTTCATGTACATAATGTTATGTGCATATTGTCATTGATTGTGCTGTGGTAGTATGAATGTTTGCTTATGTGTTAGTGTTAATCTAAAGAGTGTGTATGCATGTTCAATCACTTGTGGTTTGAGTTGACATGAAGTTATTACAAACCGCCTGGAGCTGTTTTGTATGGGAGTATAACTATTCCCTGTGATTACCTGCAGCTATGTCGTATATCATTGTCACTATAACTATTCCCTGTGATTACCTGCAGCAATGTAGAATATCATTGTCACTATAACTATTCCCTGTGATTACCTGCAGCTATGTCGTATATCATTGTCACTATAACACTATTTCCTGTGATTACCTGCAGCAATGCCGTATTTCTCAAACCCGTCAGGAGTGTTGTGCACATAGTCCGAGATGCCCAGCGCGCCGAACCCGAGGGTGGCCACAACCACACCGAACCAGACATAGAAGGGCAGCTGCTGGGCCAGGAACGCCATGGACAGCAACGCCGTGAAGAAGGCCACAGTGCCTGTTGGAAGCCAAAGTTTTAAAGACAAGTGTTTATTTCACAGCCGCATTCTTTAGATAGAGTTTTACAGCACTTGCAGCGAGCTCACATGATCTTATGCAGTTGTGAGCGCCGTAAAACACTTACCCAGCACTTGCAACATAATTAGGTCATATAAGTGTCGAAGGTTAGAGCTGTTACTAGCGAGTAACATATAGAAAAAAGACGGAGAAGTAAAAAGATGATAAACATTTGATAGGAAAGAAGGAACAAACCAACTAAAAACCTTATTCTTAAAAGCTGATTTATTTATTTAGAAATGATTCCCATTTGAAAAATTAATGAAAAAGGAAAAAAAGCTAGCCATTTTTCTTGGAACATGCTCCTTCTCCCCCTGTTACACCTCACATTAACTGACCAATCGTAGAGCAGGAAAAACACAATTCATGTCAACTCGACATCTCATTTTTCTTCGTGAGAGAGAGCAGTTCCACATCTCTTGTTTGAAGTCTCTTTGTAGATCGAAGCACTATTTCCCTGTTCAAAATCCCATACAAAGTGCCTATTTTCACTTCGGCTTAATGATTTTACCAAAAGCAGCATGAACTCTTAGATACTTGTCTTGATTGCTAACATAATATCAAGTTGGAGACACTGAAAAAAGAATGTCTTCCTCCAATATGCCTATGACTGCATAAATAAGCAGAGAAAAGGGACACTTAGAATCAGGCGCTATGCTTTCATCCACTAAGCATAATAATATTCTCTCCCCAAAGCCAAGGGCTGGCCACACTGGTAGTTGCTGGCCAAAACTGCATTGAAATGAAGAGGTTTCCATTTTTTCCTTACAGCATTTAAATATCATTATTATATTATTGAGGAGAACAACTGCAAGTAGCTTCTGACAAACGCAGAGCGAGGTGAAAAAACGGTCGTCAGACCCCTCCTGCAACCACGATATTCAAATGCAGCGGCAGAGACTGTCACTGTTTCTTCAACACTCTGCCTTTGGCCTACACAGGAAAACACACCGTCATGGCAGACGCTGCTCAAACAGATACCAGAGGAACTTGGCCACGTGTTGTCTGGTCGTGACTTAAATATTCAAATAGGCCAAGAACTACAGAAATGATTCCAGCGTACAACAAGAGACTGGAACTGGAGTTTACCTGTTGTATTGCATTTTGTCGGCAGAGAATTCTAACCGTCTAACTCCGAAATTTTCTCTAATTGTTTTTTTCCTTAAAATAGATCGACATGACGAATGGCTACGTCCTATTAAAATCTAGAACAATTTTGACAAACAAAAGTCTTGTTTTAAAGAGAAATTCTAACCGTATATTCCGACTAGCTTCCGTGACTGAAGAATTCTAACCGTCTAATTCGTTTAGGTAGCCCACCATTGTGGATCACGGCGATAACGTTTTGCTCTGAATGAGGCGGTTGATTATAAATAAATGCAAAATCAGAAAAGGCTGCTTTTGTTAAAGGGTTGGTTGACTGTCGAGCCTGTGGAGAAAAAGGAGAGAGAAAGCAGAAGATCATGGTCCATGAAGTACCATCTGCGAGTGAATGGGGCCAGAGTCAAAGAGTGCAATGCTTTCTTTTTAAGTCCTGTACTTTGTTACTAGTGTGTTCACACTGTTCTCACATGTGGGTTGGGAGTAGCAGAGGGTAAGGTTCCAGTTCAGAGAAAAAGGGTTAGGGAGGAGACTACAGCATCAAAGGTACTTAAACAGTTTCTTCGTGATCTGCCCAAGTTGCCATCTCACTATTGCCGAAGGGCTCCAGTAAGTTATACTTGGAACCTGTTTTCCAGAGCTTACAGGCAGTGTACCGCCATTTGTATAAAGAAAAGTATGAGTGGGGGGGGGGGGGGAGTACTTTCTACCTTCAAGTTTATAGAGGAGATCAATGCTATGAACCTGTCATTGTTCCATCCTCGAAAAGATAGGTGTGATCTTTGTGTGGGCTTTGAGGAGGGGAATGTGGAAGAGGGGGCATACAAAAAAGACAGCAGACAAGGAAAAATGCATGGGCAGCCAAAAAATCAAATACATCAAAATGGACCAGCAATCAGTTCAGCTATATCCCCGCACCAATGCTTCTGCTTTGTACTACAAGACGAAATTGAATGTACACAATTTCACAGTATAGGAACTAGAGAGCAAGGATTGCGTATGTTATGTCTCAAATGAATGCGAAGGTGCTCTGACTGCAAATAAATTTGCTGCTTGTGTGGCTGATTTTTGGTCATCTGATATGACTCCAGATCATTATATTCAGATGGATGTGGCTGTATCAGAACTGCAAAGTCACAATGAGTTCTGCACCGTTACATTTCAGCTCTGTCAAAGGTAAAACTGTAACATTAAAATTCCTAGAGAAGGGCTATACACAGATGAAGGTGAACAGTGCTCACAGTACATCTACTATCCAGCTGATTATGTCAGGCTAATGGAAGATTGTAGGAAAGTGAAGCCATATGTAGTCAAGTATTTGACTCATTGCATCTTTTCTGATTTCATCAAACTAACCAACCAGAGTTTACACACCAGATGGTCAAATTAAATACAAACTGAGATTTGATGATGACTGGTCACATCTGCCTTTGAAACGCAGCGAGTCCACAGACATTCTCCATAAAGACATGAAGGGGCTGCCTCTGTACCAGGGTAGAAAGTTTAATTCGTTGATAGAGAACTTTAATAACACATGCAAGAAATGAAGTCTGTTGTGCCATCTGACTACCACAAGTTCTATGACAATCTAGAATTGAGTACGTCACCAGTGCGCAAGTTAAAACCCACGATTAAGTCTTATTTAATATGCAGCGTATTGTGTTTTGGTTTAAGTAGTTTTTTTTATCGCTAACCAGAGCTTTAGCTTCATTGGGTAGAGCATTTTAAAGCCTCATAATGGTGCTTGAACAAGAGGATAATTCATTCCTGTTGACACTGGATGCTGCTATGGCATACCTCATCTTGATGACTTTCTATGTAAAATGTGTTATTTAATTAGGCCATACATTAGGTGGGGATGCATTATATGAAGTTTAGTTGAGCTTAAAAAAAATCATATTACTTCTAGAGTCCTCCAACCAAGTTAAATCATGTTTTTAGAGTTAGAAGCATTTCAGTTTCTTCCACTGGAGAACTGATGGGTCGCTTTTCAATCTTGCTCGACTTCGAGCCAAGACCAAAATCAACAAACCAAACAACAATATGAGACCTTTTCTTTGCCGGTGATGCTGCTGTTGTCGCTCATGATGAATCAACCCTATAAATAATCCTGCGTTTAAGAAGATTGAGATGGCTGGGCCATGTCAAGAGAATGGACGACAACGGATTCCGAAGCAATTTCTCTATGGACAACTTGCCCATGGAAAGAGACCAAGGGGAAGGTCAAAACTGAGGTACAAAGACATCTGCAAAAACAGATTATCTAAGCTTGGAGTAGATGTCAGCATCTGTGAAGAAATAACCGAGGACAGGAAAACATGGAGGAAAATGATAAATGAAAGAACTATTATGCTAGTGACGAGAGAGTAAGCACTGCGACAGAATCTGCACTTCAAACAGGAAAAATTAGCCATAAAAGAAGCTCCAAGAAGACAATTTGTATACGGAAATTCTTCTCTGCCCCCCCCCCCCCTTACCCCTTCTCTCTCTCTCTCTCTCTTTCAGACCCCTCCCCCCCTCTCTCTCTCAACCTCTCTCTCTCTCTCTCTCAACCTCTCTCTCTCTCTCTCTCTCAAGTAACCAATCCTTCTCACAATTTCCTTGAGAATGGAGGATCAAATAGTAGCTTTATAGTAAAAACTTAACGACGCACTTAATCTGTGGACAAGTCCACTGCCTAATTAGAATTATGTGGAAATAAAGTGTGAAGTTCAGTTTTAGATATAATAACAGTATTATTGTTAGATTCTACATCTACAGTACTATGTAGTACTAATTAGAACTTTTATGGTAGGCTTCCTATTGGATTGACTGCAGGTGTAGTCATTTCGAGTTGTTCGGTAACATTAACGTGTCACGATGACTGAGTTAGACGTAACGAAGCGCGTGGCGTCCCTTCCGGGTTGGAGAATTCTAAACGAACAATTCGTTCGTCCACACTTGGACGCTTAGAAATCCAAAACAGAGCGGTCTATCCGTATAACTCTGGTTTAGGACTTAAAAAATAAGATTTCGGCAATTTTGTTTTAAATACTTAAAAGTAGAGTCATGTATTCCAGTCTAGCGCATTTAAAGACAGTAAATCCCCATAAGAGCCTTTGAATTCAGTTTTTTGTCTCTCCTACAAAATTTACGAAATCAGAGTTGGACGGTTAGAATTCTCTGCCGACGATTTATTTCATTTAATAAAATAAAAAAATCAAAGGATCCCAAACATTTTCTTGGTACCAGTACATGCCAAAATGTACACCCAGCTTGAAGCCACAAGTTGCACTTTATTCCATTCTGAGTTTTTTTCAGTGATAGCAAATATTCACCTTCATACAACCAAATTTAAATTAAATTAGTGTAACTGACAGATTCCCGTACAATTCCTCACCAGAATAAAGATAAGATCACAGTACATAAAAGAAAGCATGCACCCGTGTCAGTGACAAAAGCCAGCAATTGCACATTACTTCAAATTTTCTGAATGCATACAATTTCAGGAAAAGCAAAAATATTTCAATACACATAGTAAAAAAATAATTTTAAAGTAATAATAAAATTAATAATTGACAATGATAATAATAATAATGAATAGCATTTACATACGAGAGTATACCCCTTTTTGAAAGTAGGCTTTATGCAAGCTACATGATAAAACACTCACCTTTGAGCATACCAAAACTGGAAGAGTATGTCAGCTGCATGCCAAAGTACGTGAGCAGAACAAATGACACGTGAAAGAATGCTGGTGGAAAGTACAAAAGCTTTGTGTACTTTTTCTGGCGTCTTACTCTTGGCCGATACGCAGGGGCTGGTGGGAACTGCAACACCCGATCTTCCTCTTCCGCATCATTTCCATCGCCAGCATTTGCGTCATTTGCGACGTCATCATTATTGTCAGCGTCATCATTTATGACAAGCCGGGCGGTGGGAGCTTCCTCTTCCCCATTGTTCTCAGCTCTATTTGCGCGTTCATTGTCATCGGCAGCATTGACTTGTGGGTGATGATTTTCCTGCTGGATGTTCCCGTCATCTTCCTCGACATTCATTCCAACATGGTCACGATTGTCTGGAGCACCAGCCAGGATCTCGACAACTCGCTGATTCGCCTGATCCTCGCCTGAGACAATGAGAACAGACATGAACCACAGCGGTCTTACTTACTTGACTTACAGTACAGCTATGATGATGAGAATAGACATGAACCACAGCGGTCTTACTTACTTGACTTACAGTACAGCTATGATGATGAGAATAGACATGAACCACAGCAGTCTTACTTACTTGACTTACAGTACAGCTATGATGATGAGAATAGACATGAACCACAGCGGTCTTACTTACTTAACTTACAGTACAGCTATGATGATGAGAATAGACATGAACCACAGCGGTCTTACTTACTTGACTTACAGTACAGCTATGATGATGAGAATAGACATGAACCACAGCAGTCTTACTTACTTGACTTACAGTACAGCTTGGACTCATCACAACTTTCTTCTTGCTGAGTTTGGCTTGTTTTTTTGTTTGTTTAAGTAGTAGGAATTTTCCGGCCCTTGCAACCCAATTGCCAAAGATTCGAGATGTTTCAAGAGAGAAACATGCAAAAAAAGGAGGAGATATAAAAATGATAGATTATTGACAGGAAAGGAGAAAACCACACCACAGCACCACACACTCTAAATTTAATTTCTTAACATTTATTTCAGTTGACTCAGATTTAAAAAATCAACATGACTACAACTGCATTTCAAAACCAACAGATTAGGTCAATGGCACAACATAGAAGTAGAAGAAGCTGACTACATTAGTGTCCAACAGTTCCCTTCAAAAAGATATTGATATAATTTTTCAGATTCCCCATATAGCAATGAAAAGGAAGTCTATTGCCCAATCTAGAGGTGTTGTATGCATAGAACAAGGCAATGGTCAAAGTGAGAGGTAAAAAAAATTGTTGGCAATACCTTCATACCACTGACGAAGGGAATATCAAAACAAAAAATTGTCAAACAAAATTTTTGATAACATAGCTTGTGTCTATGCAGAAGCTGTTACCCCTAAAATTAAGCCTTTCAATGGTTAAAATGAGACATTGATACTTGGCATCTAGGTTAGATATCAATTGCATTTTCATTAAAGTTGCCACAGTAAGCTATACTTCCACTTACATTCAGTCACAGGGAAATTTTGAAAATATATGTACATCTTTTGAAGAAGAATTAAAGAATATGTCCTTGAAAGAGGAGAAAATGTTTTGTTTTAGTAGAGGTTTTACAGCGCTTGCAACAGCATAAGGTCATATGAGCGCCAGAAAATTAGAGGTGTTACAAGAGAGTAACAAACATAAAAAAGGAGGGGAGATAAGGACGATAGATGTTTGATAGGAAAGAAGAAGCAAACCACACCAGAGCACCCACCAACCACCCACAGAGGAGAAAAGCATACTTTAGCAAGCTGCAGGACTACAACAATTTTAACAACAATGGGACTACAAAAGTAACAATAACACTGCAATAACAGCATTATCATTAACTTTAAACAATACAAAAACTCTAACAACCACTAAGCATTGTCTAAACGGTAAACATTTTGTTGTGAGACTGCCCTTTAAAACATCTCTTAATTACCTCGCTGATTCACTTCTCCATGACGAAACCGTGAAAACCCCAGCCAGTTCTTGTCAATTGCCATCCATAGGAAAAGTAAACCAAACTGCATCAGCTGCTTCAGGAACCACTGCAGAAACAGGATTTTTTTTCTTAGCACAGTGGAACCAGAAAGTGGGTGGTTGGAGAGTGCCACTGGTAGGCCCTAGTTCTCTTCTTTCTCTCTGTCGTTCCAGTTTGTGTGTCTTGTTTTTAAAAACCCGGCAGTCATTGTGTCTATGTGCTTTTCTTGACTAAAAATACAATGAATAATGAAACTGAAAAAAAACTTACAATGGAACTAAATAACCTTTCGTCAAATTTCCGTGTTACTTCTTTCTATTTTTTGACATGGTTCAAAAGATATGCATTTCATATTCATCTTTTTCCAGTGGGAGTGGGGAGATCAGTAGAGAATTATATCATATACCTAACGTGAGTATCTTACACACACCTGGAAAACACAAAAACCCCAACCAAACAGGTATCCCCCTTATATTAAATATATTTCTTGTAGATGATATTATGATACCCATTATAGCTAGACCTTAAATTAGTAGAGATAGGAACAAATTTGATTCTTACAGCTCACTCAATTCACTGAGTGATAAGGTAATTCAGATTTTTATATACATGTAATGCAAGTGGGAAATGGTTTAATGATGGCTTCCAAAAGGTTTTTCTCACAGCTGAAAATATCCAAGTCTTTCACAAAGTATTATAGGTGAGTAGGTTATATATTATAGCATGATTTAGAAACAAAAATACAAATTTGAATTTTTAAAACTTTTAAAAGAAATGTATTGTACAAGAGATGTGAAAAATAAAAGTATCATAATCTTTGTTCTTTTATAGGCAGAACATCTGCAGTAGACATATGATGTAATATAGCAGAGAAGGAAACCATATTCAGATCATTGTACCCAGCAGTTAGTTGACCATCTAAAAGTGATAAAACTCTCAAAAGTACAAAAATAATTACTTCAATGATTTGATGATCACATGATAATTTTTATGATTCGATGGCAACACACAAGACCTAGTTTAGTTTCAATTTTAGAAAGAGTTTTAGGACACTTTCAACACTAATAGGTCATAAAAGAAAGTGTTGAAGATATGAGGTGTCACTTGAGTGAATACCAAAAAAAAAAAGAAGGAGCAGACCACACTTGTCGTACATCAACAGCAACTTACCATCACAAAGGTGTGATCAAAAGCATGAGGTTTTCTTGTTGGGGTACCTTGAACAATCAGCTCTTTCTGCCAACTGCCAACACATTGAAAAAATGGGGTCAATTGAAGAGTACAGTGGAACCTGCCCTTATGGCCATTTTAGCCAATCACCTCTGCACAAACAACCGCTTCCCATATGTAAATGAAACAAAAAATCTCTTTGTTATTTTTTTTCTTCTAATCCAAGAAGCTTATATAGAATATCTAGGAAGCAGAAGAACTTAGAGGGGCTCTGTCCTTCTATCACAATGTGGGGGCAGGGTGATAAAAAATGAACATCTGTGAACTTAAAACGGGGTTCCAACTTGACAGAGTAGCGCCTTTGATGTTCCACAAACACAATAAACAGGGGGCTCACGTGGTCGAGAGGTTATGGTGTTCACCTCTCATTTAACAAGCCCCGACTTCGAATCCGGAAAATGACGGAAAATTTTCTGCTCCAAAATTGTCTCCTTTCACTTCCTTTCCTGCTCTCTCGCAATGTTTTGTCGCTTACTTTCATCTCCACTTTCTGCCCCCACCCCCTCATCTCCTTTGCCCCCTCCTCTGGGCTCCTGCCTCTTCGTGCAGCCTTTCTACTGCTATTTCTTGGCTCCTTCTTACTGCTGTCTTTCAACCACACCCCTGATCTTATTGTAGGTAAGAACTAACACCTAGCCTTCTCGGTTGTGGGTGAAAAATCTCAGAGGTCCAGTGTGCAAGTTGCGCACGTTAAAGATCCCTTAGCGGTCCAAAATCGATAAGAGTAGGCTTCCGCTGCCACCCGGGCAAAATTAAAAATTTCCTACCAACTGAAAATGTTTAATGTGTCGCGCACCCTCAAATGACCATAGGCAGTTGCGAGTGCCCTAACACTTACACCAAAACAAGACATTCCAATAAATGGTAGCTTGGATTCTTCCTCAATTTCAAAGCCATGTACCTATTAGCTAGAGTAGATTCGGGTAACTTCGCAACTCTCAGTTGGCTCACGATGAAACAAGTCTACACCACTATGCTCAACGTATATGATTCAAGTTTCGTCAGCAACTTTTCGTAGCAAATGTAAATGCAGATAGTTCACTGATAAGTTTGCTTGCAAGTCGTACTTCAGCTGCCTCATTCTTTTTTCAAGTGGATGTGGTGACAGGGAACTTTGCCACCATATCAGGGAAATTTGCCAGTCCTTTAAGGGGAATTTGCTGTACTTGGAGATAATCTTATTTCATTATGCATGTGTAAATTATTAAACAACATGTAAAAACTGATCTTTTGTTAAAGGGAAACCCGCATATTGACGGTGCGCGATGTTAACCGTGCAAGGCATTCTTCGCAAATTTTTCAGGAGAAAAAAAAAACTAATTTATTTCAAAATGCGTTTTAGCAGAGTAACGGTTTCAACATATGGGGATTTTTATAAGACAATACACATGATGGGAGTGTATGTTTCTTCCACATCAAGAAAAAAGGTGTCTTTTTCAGCCCTTACACGGATAACATTCCCTTATCTTGCGCTTCCCCTATACGCTCACGCTCAGCCCAGCCTGAGACCCTGCACGGATAACATTGCCCAATACAGCCCAATACGTCGAGTGCCAACCCTGGGAGGCGCAAGGCACTGTCTTCTTCCCCTGCACGCTCTGGCATCACAAAAAGCTTGGAAACAAGCGATTCCAAAACTTCAATGTGTTCAGTAGTATACATGTAATTAATTAGCGGCAGCTGGCCGTATAGGCTTGTTGATTTTATAATGAGTATTTTACACACAGTTAATGTAACGGCAGTGGCAGTCCTACACAACAGGACCTTGAGCAGTGGTTGTAGTACCGGTAGAGTTTAACTGTAGTAGTTCTCGGTGGTGATACTGACCATTAAAATACTGCTCATTTTTTTTTTCATTCTTATTTACCCCTAGTTGCTTTTATTTTTCCCCTTTTTTTTTGGGGGGTTTTTTTTTTTGGTAAGTGTCTTACGGCGCTCGCAACTGCATAAGGTCATATGAGCGCCAAATACGTTTTTGGGGGGGGGGTCTTTTTCGGGGTTTCTTTTAGTGGGGGCGGGCAATACTATATGAGGAGTTTTCTCTTTTTATCAAAATATTCAGAAAGCTGAAAGTAGAAAGATTGACTACTACCATTTTGAATTTAGTAGTTCATTGTACACTCTAGGCTACTTTGATTAGCTTAAATGAAATAGTAAATAGTAATCATGAACAAATGATGTCAGCGCCGGGGAAAAAAAATTCGTTTTCCTCTCTTTGTCTGAATCTGAATATAGTTTTTTGTTTAGGTTAAACTCCTCAGTGAACACAAGGTAGGCCTACCCTACTGTAGGTCATTTCAGAAGCAGAGCCTGTCACCAAGGCTTACCTGGATTCCTACTAAGGATTTATTGCACTTTTGACTTTGAGGCAAGCTCGTACCCGTAACAATGAATGGAAATTAATGGTCATCTTTAAATACAGAATCATTATATACAAAAAGAACAAGCCCTTGCACTGGTACACAGGGAAGATATATAAACATTAAAGTTTCTGTTAGCTTTGTTTTTGCTCTGATTCTGATTATATAATCTGAAGGCTTCTGATTGTATTGGATAACATTTGTTTTGAGTGCTTTTGTGGTGCTTTTTTTACCCCCTATTATAAAGATTATATGCCTGAAAAATTTAAAGACTTCCTACCTAAAATGGCTAAAAGTGGTGATGGTATATCGTTACCATACTTCGTGACATGACACTCGGTCGCCACTTTTCCCCAAAAAAACTTTAAATGGAATTGATTTTGAATTTTGCGTGGATTCTCATTAATTGTGAGTACAAGTAGGCTATATATGTATCCCAATAAATCTAAATTATTAAAATATTTAAAATACAGTAACGGAAACTGTCTACTAAAAGTTACTATATATGTCAAATTGAAATGCCGGTATCAAAAATGCTTTGCCGATGAGAACAATGGAACGCATACATTCATACTCAATTTCATTTTGGAGGCTGATTAAATAATCAGACCAAAACAAGGGTATTCCTCAAGGTGAGAGAGGCTATGGGACCTATAAGAGTCATAGTGATACAGACACCCTCCCTACATTAAATATTCATTAAAAGAAAAAGTTTTGACTTAGAACTACTATATTTCACATATAATTATAATAATATAATGTCCCTTTTCTAGCCCCATTTTAATCAATCGAGGGCGGCAGCTTCGCAAATCGTCTGCCTCTGAATAGCGAGTGCTCATACACCATAGCGACGTACTATAGTTCGCTATCACTTACACGCTAAGCATCTCAAGACTAGTAACGCGAAAAGCACACGCCCCCACATGCTTCGCACAACCCAAGATGAACCAGCAATTGGAATGCGCGTTTAGTATACAAACGTTTTTTTATTGTAAAACTTCATTTGTGACACTCGAGGTTTTACTGGTAATGAGTAATACGATGTATAATCTTTCATTTGAGAAATTTATTTTTTTAAAAACGATATCGGCCACAGCACTGCTGTTAACATCGCGCACCGTCGATGTCAATAGTTTTAATTCTCACCCACCCAGCCCTCATTCCAAAAAGTAGATCGCCCAGAGACATAGAATCTAGTTGGCAAGAGGTTTTTGGGACTACTAAATTCTCAGGCTGCCCCAGAGCAGCTTTGTCCACCTTAAATAGCTTCAACAGCTTTCTCCAAATCACTTTAAGTATACTTGTTATTGATTCCCTTGCTTGTTTTCCCCATAATAGAATTGTATTTATCTAAGTAAAATAACAAATGGAAAATAAATAGAACTGTGTGCGACTATGTGGTAAAGTTCCCTGACAAGAGAGGCGAATTTTCTTGACAAGGTGTAGATCTGAACAAAGACAATTTTTGAACAGTGGGGCATTCAGTGTACAAAACAACAATAAAATGCAGCAAATATTGTATTTAATTCAAAATAGCAGTTTTAACACAATGTGAATAAAAAGTTGTACAACAACGGTAGTAAGCAGTAGACACAAGAAATAGCGCAGGCGCAGCAGAGACAGGGCAAGAGAGAGGAGTGAAAGGGAAGATTAGCGAAGGAAGACAAAATGCTTAAAACACTGCGATTGTTCTTCGTCATAGCAATTAATTTTTCTGATTGGCTGATCAACTGACAAAGAAATGTTTCTGGTTGCAAGTAACTTGACACTTAAACTCTTCGTTGGTGGATGGAATTTCCCCTTTCCTGGCAAAGTACCGAATATAATATACATTCTTCGAACTATCCTTTGTGTTTGTTTTTATTTCAAAGGAATAAAAAATTTCATTTTACTTCCCTGTTGACTTTTCTCATACTTCGATTCTACTCTCTTACTAAAATAGATCTAGATCTAGATATCTAGATCTATTCTAGATCTAGGAGATAGCCTTTCCAAATCTACTTTGATAACTTTGAAAACTTTCAAAACAAGTTCTTCACGGCCACGGGAAATAACTTTTAAAATGGCTCATTACTATCGATGGACACAGAAAATGAGCTCGATCTTTTCATGTCCCCACTCAGTGTATGTCGACCACGTCGAACTTACAACCAGTCTATTTTCAACAAAGAATTTGAAACGATGATAAAATAAAAACAATTTTAAAAGTTAGAAGAAGAACCAACTCACCGATCGCACATAACTTTCACAAGCCCAAATAGCACAAAAACAGTGCCGATGTATATATCTTTCATAGGTGGGGCAGGCATTTTGTATTTGTTAAATTTGTGAACGATCCGTCAATTTGATGTCGACAAACTTGACGTTTTCTCTAGAAACGACGGGAAATTACATTGCTTTATACTTCCTTGTTCATGTTGGTGTTGGTTGGAAGTTAGTTGACAATAATAGACAACGAAAGATAATTTCCGGGTCAAAGTTTGTGACATCATAACAATAATTGAGGAAGAAGTTGGCCCATTGCTGTGACAGGCCATTATACTTGTAATAAACACCCACCAATTAACGCTTTGATAATTAAACCGTGCCGAAAAGACTGGTGTATATATAATATCATTGTCATTAAAGAGAGAAAAGTTGACGAGTGGTCGTTGCCTTTGATTAAATAAAGATAAGACACAACACTAAAAACAAACGATACGATGGCTATGCGAACAATTTTGCCCGTGTCGAAAAAGTATCGCATAACATCCTTTCAATGTTTTCAATAGGGGATTTTTTTTTGGCCGGCACTATTTCTCCGAACGTTCGGGAAAATAAAGCTGGGCACTATTTCTCCGAACACTCTGAAATATCATCCTTTCCCCCAAATTTCGGATATTATATAGAGATCTATAATTATAGTATGGGCCTACCAAAGATTGTTCGTATACAATATGGTTCAATCGGTCCAAAAAATGTCCGCCGTAAATATTTATA